CTAAGTACTGTACTGGGCATTGAAATGGAAAAAATGTACCAAATTATGTTATAAAGGCTTCACAAGCTAAGCATGATATTATAGGCTCTCTTGTGGCAACTGCGAGAATTCAGATTTAAATAAAGTTGTATGGAATCACCACAAAATTAAAAGGACTAATTCAGGCTGGAAGAGCAGTCGGGATAGATTAAAAGTGAAAATGCCATTTGAATTGTTTATTAAAGGATGGATAATAAAAGGAGAAATTTTGCCAGTGGTTGTGTAGTTCATGCATTGCATGATGGGGGCAAACAGGTGTGAAACAGCCACACAGCCAAGCATCAGCCACTGGAGAGGCATCTCTCTGAAGGAAAAAATGTCTTTTCCTTTACATAAAGGCCCTACCTTCTCACCAATTAGAACGCCCCAAAGCATTCTAAGTTGCACGATAACTTAGAGGCTTGTGTTACATAATAATATGCAGACAACAGTAACATTGTGGGCTTGTACTTTCCTTGAAGAGTGCATATTTGAAGGAAAGGAGGATAGTATCAGTAAAACCACAGGAATAAGAATGTACAAAGTGGAGAATAATTTAGTCTGTCTAGAGCAGAGAGTGCTATTAGAGGAGGAAGGAAGAGGTTACAGCAGAAAACTTAGTGTGAGATGAGTCTAGATTAGATAGAATAGAGCACGATGTCTGAAATCCCATTCAGAGGAGATAAAATAGATTTTATTCTGTGCGAAATTGCAAGCTATCAACATTTTTAAAAAGGAAATGACATGCTAGAACTTCATTGTAAAGACAGTTGAGGTTTGTAGGCTAGAGAACAGATATGGGCTGGAGAAAATGTGGAGAATGGAAATGGAAATCTCAATTGGAAAAATAATGTGAATTTTTAGAGAGACCATGAGAGGCTGAATTAGAATAAGAGAGGTGGGATTGAAAAAGAAGGATCCTTTTGAGACTCCTTTTAGAAATAAAATGGGTAGGAAAACATTAGATATTGGTAATGAGGGGAACTGAGTTGTAAAGGACTTTGAGGTTTCTAGCACTGATGGTGATGCCACTTGTAAGAACAACTAGTAATTAAGAAGCAGGCTTTGTTGGATGAGGGTGGATGTGGGGAAAGACAAGAGTTATTTTTTGGTTTAATCTTTGGTAATATATTAGTACATAATTTGTCCTTTTGCTTGTTTATATTTTTCAAAGTAGAATGTATTAGGTTATAAGCAAAATATTATTTATTAGCTCTCACATTTAGTCTGCAATATCCACATGAAATTAACTTAAAAGTTTCTATTATATCTATACTGTACCTACCTACATTCCTTCATTTGTTTAAGTAAATTCTTCCGATATTTTTCTGTTCTTCGTTTTTGTTGAACAATCAGCCTCTTCTCTTTTAGGAGAGCCTCATTCTTCTTCCATCTGTCGAGTTTAAGCGTTCCTTTCATCAAAAGAGTGCGCTCATTATTTAAGTCTTGAACTAATAAACGCTCTGTAGCTTTTTGGGTTTTTTCTTTTAGAAACGCAGCTCTTCTCTCTCTAACTTTTTCATGGTAGTTGAATCTGTCCTTCCTAAGTTGTTGTAAACCATTCTGAATTGCCTCATTGTCTTTTTCAATTAGTTTCTGTGCCGCATATCTTTTATTATTCAAATTTTCATGAACAGCTAGGCTAACTCTTCTTTGGGCAACTTGTGCCATGGCTATAGCTGTTATTTTTTCTTTATGGCATTCCTGATTCTTTTGCTCTGTGTAATATTTATCAACATCACTAAGCATTTGGAGTTTTATACCAGCTCTGTGTGTTGCAAAAAACTCTTTTTTCATACTCCTGTCTAACAGTGTGTCTTTTTTAGTTATTGGTTGTGGATGAGTGGTAGAAAATGACTGAGCATATACAGGAAAAGAATCTTGTTTTTTCTCTTTCAGTACTGCAGCATACTTCACTGGACTTGAAGTATATATAGGTAGTTTGAACACTGATATCCTAAAACTGGCATCCAATTCTTCATCTTCAGTTTCATCTTCAGACTCCTTCTGACCTACATCACACATCAGACAAATATTATACATTACATAAGACTGAAGCACATTTTATTTCCTGTCTAAATTGTATTGAAAGTTGTATTAATAGTTGATAAGAACCTGTTATTTACTTTACTAAGAAGCTTTTTTCCCAAATTCCTTTTCAACTTCTGATTTAACAGTGATTTTAGAGAAGAAAATCACTATTAAAACATTTTAACACAGAAATGCACTGAATCTAATTTCAAAAGTTTCTGTATAATCTCTCACAGTATAACTTGCCCTGAAGCAATAGCAACATCTTCTTTTTAGTGCTTAATCATACATATTATTTTTTCATATAG